ATTATTTCTAGGTTAAAATTAAGTTTGAGGGAAGGGGGACACTAACCTCATCGCGACATGTGTGTAACAGGAGCCCTGACACTAAATGCAACTTGAGTTCAAAGACAGGCTTTGTGGAATAGCTGACATACAAATGGCTCACTTTTGAAAAAAAAGAGTCCAAAATCCAGGAGAAGACTCATTTGAGAATATTGTTTTATACTGCCTCAACAGGAAGTATCACTGCTTTGGTGAAAAATAATCCCTCAAAATCTTTAGGGAAATGCCATCCAATTGAGCAAAATGAACAATACCACACACTGGACATGTATGTCTTCAGTATTTTATATTAGACCAGCACAAACTGATAAATCTTGATGATATGTTGAAGTATTATCACAATCTTATTCTTCCAACTTTAAGGAACCCCACATGCCATAATGCAGATAGTGCACCACAACTTAGTGAGATAGATGAATAGCGGAACCAGAATTGAAACAAAAAGGAGTGGGAATTAAGAAGTTATTCCCTTATAAAATTCTTCAGCTAAAGTTTCATTTTAACAGAATAATAAAGTTATTCTGTTAAGTACATCTGTAACCCTTGTAACAAAACACCAAATTGTGTTGTAACTAAAAGCATAGATTTTGAAGTAAGGCAATTTGGTTCAAATCTTGGTGCCCCCTAATGTGATCTTGGGAATATTTTTTAACCTCTTGAAGCCTAAATCTCTTTAGTAAAAAAAAAAAAAAAAAAAGGAAGATTAATACTTCATTATGGGATTGAGAACTAAAAAGTGATCATTTAAAATATATTACATAACAAAAATAAAACCTGATAGACAAAAGAAAACACCATTTCAACTATGATTTTGTTAGACTTTTATTATGAATATATTTTTTGAGCCATCATTTCAAAGGATCTCTAAAAAACTGCAAATCTTAAAGCAGTTAATTTTAAAGGAGTCAACTCGTTTTATTAATACCAATGTTTTTTTCTTTCAGGACCACTGTGAGCATGACACTATACTGATGGCCAAGCAGAAACCCTAGTTTGAATTCTCTGATGTAAAAATTATTCTACTTACTTGTGGATATTAACTTGACTGTGAAGAATATAAAGTAAATTTCTGAAAACCTGTAAATAAGCACATGAGACTACATTTCATAATTCATGGTAAACAGTTAATTCTTGATTCTTCAAGTAAATATAACTAATACGGTAATCCAAAAGTTACTCTGGTGTTGAAATAAGCTATGATTTTTTAGTATTGTCCTATTAATTTTTCATCTAGAATATTAGTTATTTTTGTTTATATTACAAATGAAACTCTGAAACCGAGTAGGACACACAAAAAATCAGTAGTAGTCTTGGGTTAAAAATTTTCCACATATCATTCAAAGATTATCATTTAATCCAGATTTAGCGGTATCATGTTCCCAAACCAATAAATATAACATATTTATATTTATTGTATTTACCTATTTATAGGTAACAACCATTAAAAAAATCTGGATACGATCAAGGGTGAATAAATGTCAATAAGATGAACTATATACATGAACTTTCAGTTAAAAATATACCTTAAAAAAATGACCAAAAAAAAAGTCCATTTCTACTGCTTTCTCCTTGAGTAATTACTTTATCTTATGTGATAGTTTGTTAACCTCTAGAAGAGTAAGAAAAAGTCCTTTTGTATTTCATGATAGGTTTAATCAGGTAATTAAAACAAATTCTTATGATATCATCTGATATGTCCAATTACATGGGTATGATGTAACAAAAACAGTTACAAACTTATATATGCATATTTACATTATATATCCAAACTATCAAGCTAATCAACTATATCTAAGGAGATACATTATGACATGAGTTAAACAATTTTTCATTGCTTATTAGAAAGAATGCAGTCAAGCTTTTAATGGAATATACAAGTGAGGCACTTTTGAGGTCAAGAATAGAAAGCAAATGACACTACATACTGGCAATATTCACAAAAATCTATGTGTATCTTTAATACAAAGGTTTTTCAACTAGATTATTCTTTAAAAGTTTCAAAACTAGCAACTTATGCAATTTAAGGAGCTTTCAGGAACAATGGCTAACATCAGTGTATCAAAGCATATGAAAGTTTTATAACCACCTGGCTGCTAGGCAAACAGTACCTTAATACCTTAAAGCCCTTTTTTTGTTGTTGTTGGGTTTTTTTTTTTTTTGGTTTATATAAATCACCTCAGGTTGTGATTTCTTAATGTTTTGACTCACTGCAAAACAGTGAGTCAACAATAGTACCTTATGGTACTATTATTATCATGGTTTATAGACCAATTTTTTTTAAGTGCAACAATATTAAGTTTCTAGTGCTTTCCCTTCTACTTAGAAATATGATCCTGGAGTTCAAATTAAGAATGAGAAAATTTAGTGAAGAATCTGTTTTCCAGGTAACTAAAGTTTTCCAAGTTTTATGTAGAAAAATGTTACACTTACTTAATGCATCTTTGGGCTAAAATTAAAAACCCAATCTCACCCACATATTCCAAAAAGTAATCACAAAGCCTAAAGTAAATTTCAACAAAAGAAACATCCTTTAAATTGCCCATCTGGAGGAAAGTACATGTTTCCTGTACTTTGAAGACTTATATGGATATTAGAAAACATCTCTGTGGCATTCAATTAAGGGGGTGGGGTGGGGAGTAAAAGAAAAGAAAAAGCAAGACTTACCCAAGATATCAGATGGCACTATACACATGAATTGAAAGTGCATTTGTATTACTTCAAAAGTTCTTTTTAGGCACTGCTGAATAACCAATGAAAATAGGTAGTTTCAAGTTTTCCCCTTTAAATTTTAACCCCTGTCCCAACATCATCCCAGAGACATACACACACTCTCTGAAGTTGTCATGATCAAATATAGGTGATGTTTATTTATTTTTTTAAAAAAACTCCCTGGCTGGTAATGGGAGGAAAATTAGAATACCATTTTGGTAATGGCTTTTGCACGTTAAAAGAATTAGTTTTATAAATGCTTCGGCATATCCATTAAGTTTGATTGCCAGTTCCAAAGATCAATAAATATTTTAAGACAGGATATGTAAGAAAAAAGTGCTTAAAATCTTTCAGGGACCAAAAGACACATTAGAGAAAAGGTTCATTTTACAATTCCCTTGAGATATGTCTTACTCTTGCTTTCTCTGTTTGGAGGTGGCCACTACTTAAATAGCCCTTTTTATTGGTAGTAGTGATGAACCCTGTCAGATCCTGATTGCCACCTCATGTCTCTGGTCTATAAAACATCCAGTAGGTGGTGCTGAAGTTCCATACCTCATATTTCTTCAGCAATCAAAATGATTCCCCTGTCAAGGCAGGAGAAAAATCATTTAAGAACTATCAGTTCTGAACACAACAAGCCATCAGACCAAAGTCTTTCTTGTTATGCCATCTAGATGATTTCATTTTCAATATTTACTATTACTTAAGCTGGTTTAGCCATTTGCTTATAACTACCAGATTAAAAGCAAAGAGAAAGGTTTCAGAGGAAAAGTCAGTTGGCAGTGCCAAGTCTGTATGCAGAAGCAGAAAATGTTCCTGAACATACATATACACGTTTTAAGAATGAGAAATTTAAACTATCCTTTTTTTTCCCCCCACAGAACTCTAATTTACTCAAGAGAACATTTCCACAGAGGGATTCAGACATTATATTATCAGTTAGTATTCTAGACTGGTTTGGAATCTGAGTGTGTTAACTACAAAGATCCAAGGTGAAATAAAAACCATTTCATCACCATAGTTTTTAATGAAGAAACTTGTTTAAAATTGTAAAGGAAAAAAATGGGAATGGGATGGCAAAATCTTAGCAGCAAAGTGGTTAAACAAATTGAAAATATTAATGCACAAACATTAAAATATTAAAGCATATATGTTGCATATAAAATACAGTACAGAACCAGGAGTTGCACTATACTGATTAGTGCTTAACAGAAGAAATGATTAAATTTGTTCTTCCCAGAAGTATGTACACAGTTCATTTCCACAGCATTTTCCTATAGGGCCAGCAAGTTATTTTCTTCAGTTATTCACACCTTGCTCAAACCTGAATTATGAACTCAGCACTTACAAATATGAAAATTCATTCACAAGGAAAACCAGTATTTCCATTTTACCAATAAAAAGTAATTTTAAAAGTTAACAGTCTATTCTAGGAAACCAAGTTTAGCTGAAAACTTCAGGGATGAAGATCATCTGGTGTAGCAGTGTTCAATTATATAAACAGTAAAAATAAGTCTTAAAACTGCTGCTACAGTGTCATATTTTGGATTTAGTTCATCCAATTGATTTTTAGTACAAAACTAGAAATAACCTCTTCTTCATAACATCTATAGTTATCAATATATTTTTCTTCTTTTCAATGTGAAATAATACTTCAAGATGATCTATATACACAATGTTGTCAGTTCAAGCTGTCATATAAATATAAATGCTTTCTTAAAAAAAAGTATTTTACAGACAGATAGTGTTATATACATTGTTCAGTTTGATCTGGGGCAAAAGAAGAAAGCTAACACAAGCTTAAGTGTGATATGTAAAAAGAACGATACATAAATGACATTTTAAAACCTGCATAGAAATGAGCTTCAAATGGTAGTGTGATTTTAATTTTATCACTTCTGAAACTTCAAGCCATTAAAAAAAAGGCACACTTCTCAACTTTATCCCTCTAAGGGAATGTTCTTAAAGAACCCTTTACTTGTTAGAGTTTTAATGTAACACTTAGACAAAAACAAAAACAAAAACAAAAACCAATAAAAAAACAAACCAACCAGACAAATTGACCCCAACTACTTTAAACAATTTGTTGGAACATTATCCAACTACTTTGTAAATAAAACATCCAGTAATACAATGCTCTGCAAAAGAAATAAAATTATATGTACAAGATATTTCATTCACAATGTTGGATTAAATACTTTCCTGGGATAGTTTAGTATATACTTTAACATAAAATAATTTTGCTTTTGGCAAGTTTAAATAAAGTAAAATGCAACTGGGAAAAGTTATTGTTATGTGAATAATAAGCACTGAGAATTAAGCTAAAAAATTAACACAGCTGAACACAGTCTAGTTTAGCAGAGTGATAAATGGAGATCTCAGGAGGAAACTTTTACATGAACTATCCAGTTACACTTTTTGCCTTGTAAAACATTTGTAAATGCAATGTGATTTTTTTGAAGGAGGAAACTCTAAAGAAAACAACTTGCTGGTTGAATACCACAAAAAACAAAACAACCCCAAAACCTCACTTTTTTCTATAATGTTTACTCAGTCTCTTTTTATATAAAAATAAGTGTTACGTTCCCATCAGAACATTAGACAATTACATCTGTGCTTTAAAAAAAAAAATTGGTCACTCAAGGCTATTAGAATATTTTTAAAGATTTTAGATTACCAGAATGTACAGATAGAACTCAATATAAACTGTAGCCAAAGGGAAATGAGGATGAAAATATCAAATCATTCACATGGAATAAAAACATTATTAACTAGATGAGTAAAATATTCAAAATATAATGGAATGTGACAGTAGATATATGTACATCTACTTCAGAACTAGGAAGGGGAAGAAAAGTTTAATATGTGATAATTCGTACCTTATATTTAGTTAAATATAAACATTTGTTATTTATACATAAAACCGCTTTCAAAAAACAACTAATAAATGATTTAGTTGCACTTGTTTTACTTCTTATAATTCCCAAGTGTTAACTTTTCTTAGATTGAAAACAACTGTCCCCTAGTGCACTTTTAGTTTATGTCTTAATGAATTCAAACCTTTAAAAGTCCCATCAGCTAATGCATAAATATACAAAAATGCCAAAAATTAATCCCTTTTAAGTTGGATATTTTATGCTCACTTTGTATAGCCAATAACCAGAAATGGTTTCCTTTTGCAAATACTCTTTACAACCTGTAACAAAACATGCCATGCACTGAAGGGAGAAAGTTAGGCATGGCTAGCGTTTGTGAAATGCCAAGAACTAACGAGTTCTGCTTCCTCCATGTGTGGCCCCAATGAGACCAGGCAAGATTTCATATTGCTTGCCAAAAGCTTCCACAAATACAAGTTAGCTAATTCCTGGAAACAAAGATTTTAAGCTCATTTTGGCACGGGATTCTTTCACCCAGCAGCTTTATGCTTCCCACCACAGCACCCACACGCCTCGCCACAACGATGGCACATTCTCAAAGGGACATAGCAGCACATACATGGTACGATGAAGGACAAAGCTACTAGGGCTAACCATCGCAAGCAGAACTTGTCATCACTAGTGTCACATGAACAGGGATCAGAAAAATCTCCCTCTGAGTCTGACATACAATGATATAACATGCTCTCTGCACAGAGCATGCAACTAACTTGATATATGCATCTTTTAATAGGGTCTGGAGCATCCTGACATTTTCCCCTGCCGTTTTCTTCATGATTAAACCTTTCCTGGCAGTATACGCAGCGGGAACGTTCACCATCTTCTTTTCTTCGTTTTGACTTCTTAAATTTTAATGAGGAAGGCTGTGTCTTAAATACCACAGAGTCTTTGAGTGAACTTAACTTAGTTTCATCCCCACAAGAGTATAGATAGTCTGATTTTTTACTGTCTGGTTTAGAAAACTGAATATTGGAATCAGTATCATCTCTCTCTAAGTCATTTTTCCACATGTCAGGATGTCTGTAGTCTGCATAACGACGTATTAAGATATCTCGAGGGTTTATTCTGACAATCTCATCTTCATCTTGAAAGCTGACATGTCGGATTGATTTCAAAGGGACCTAAAAAGGAAAGAGATGAAAATGGCAATAAGAACAGTGAAGGTTAATTTTATATGTCAATTTGGCTGGGCTGCACTGCCCAAATATTTGATCAAACATTATTCTGGATGTTTAAGTGAAGATGTTGCTTGTATGAGATCAATCTTTAAGTTGGTGGATTATGAATGAAGTAGATTATCTTCCACAACATAGACAGACGTCATCAATTAGTTGAAGGCCTTAATAACATAAATGTTGACCAGCCCAAGCAAGACAGAATTCTGCTAGCAGACCGCCTTTGGATGGGATTGCAACTCTTCCCCGGGTCTCAAGCCTGTTAGCCTACCTGCATATTTTGCATATATACCTTCATTATTCCATGAACCAATTCCTTAAAATAAATCTCTCTCTGTGTATATATACATAACGAGTTGGTTCTGTTTCTCAGGAGAACCCTGACTCATACAGATTCTAGTACAAGAACTGGGAGAGTTGCCGTTAACAAGTACGTAAAAACGTGGAAATGACTTTGGAAATGGGTAGAAGTTAAAAGAGTTTTGAGGTTCATGTTACAAAAAGCCTTGAAGAGACTGTTGTTAGGAATATGGACATTAAATGTGCTTCTGGTGAAGGCTCAGATGGAAATGAACAATGCTGGAAACTGGAGGGAAGGTGATACTTGTTTTAAATTGGTAAAGAATGTGGATGAACTGTATGTTAGCGTTGTGTGGAAGACAGAACCTGTGACTGATGGACTTGGATATTTGGCAGAGATTCTAAGCAAAGCGCTGAAGGTGCTCAGTTTCTCCTTGTGGCTAACACTAAAATGTGAGAGGAAAGGGATAAACTGAAGTAGAAATTTTTAAGCAAAAAGGAAGGAGATCTTGAAGAATTGGAAAATTCTCTGCCTATGGGTAGTGCAAAAATTGAGAAAGCATGTTCTAGAGAGAATACCCAAGGGTGTGGCTAACCAATCATATAATAAAGAGATTATGGTGTGATTCCTGAATCCAATCAACTATCTCAGCTACAAAGCTGCTACAATGGACTACAGGAAACAGAGGTAGCATGAAACGAAGAAAAGCTTTTTTGGACTTCTAGGATTTACAGGACTGGCAAATAGAGCTATCTGACTGAAAACATGTGTTATCCTTTAAGAAAAGGAAAGAATGATCCCAAGGGTGAGGCTCTCTCCTCAGTTTCAGTGGGCCAGAAAACCTGGAACCTAGGGTATGAGGCTATCATGCACTGCTAAGGATTTGGGGTCACCAATCTGCTTGGCCCATAGGACAAAATACTGAGCCAGAGCCAAAGAGGATTATTCCCAAGCCTTAAAATCTCACAGAATTTGCCCTGCTAGGTTTTAGACTTGCTTAGGACTCATGACTGCTTTCTTCTTTCTAAGATTTCTCCCTTTTCAAAAGAGAGTATCTATTCTATGCCTTTCCCATCCTGCTATTTTAGAAGCAGGTAATTTGTCTTGCTTTACAGGTTCCCAGCTGGAGAGGAATTTTGCCTTAGGATGAAACACATCCTGCATCTCACCCACACTCAACTTAGTAGAAAAGATGCAGGACTTAGAATTGATGCTAGAATGGGTTAAAACTTTTGGGCTGTTGTGATGAGATGAATCTGCGGAACCAGAGGGCGGAATGTTATGGGCTGAACTGTGTACTCCCAAATTCATATGTTGAAACCAATACTTCAGAATATAACAACATTTGGATATAAGGCCTTTTAAAGGTGATTACATTAAAATAAGGTCCTTACGATGGGTCTTAATCCAATCTGGTATCCTTTTAAGAAAAGGAAATTTGGGGGGGGCCTGTGTGGCTCAGTCAGTTAAGTTTCCGACTCTTGATTTCAGCTCAGTTATGATCTTGGGGTCGTGGGATCTCCGTGCTCAGCCAAGAGTCTGAAGATTCTTTCCCTCTTCCTTTGCCCCTCCCCCTGCTCACACGTGTTCTCTCTCTCTCTTTCTCTAAAATAAATAAATAAATCTTAAAAAAAAAAAAAGGGGGAAAGAAAGAAAAGGAAAGGAAATTTGGACATACAGAGAGGCACCAGAGATGTGGGTGTACAAAAGAAAGACCATATGAGGACGTGGCCAAAAAGCAGACATTTACAAGCCAGGAAGAGAAGCTTCAGAAGAAACCAAATGTGCCAACATCTTGATTTTAGACTTCCAGTTTCCAGAACTATGAGAAAATAATTTTTTTTGTTCAAGCCACTCCATCTGATACTTTGTTATGATAGCCCTAGCAAACCAATACACAGACACACATGTATATAGCTTGGCTATATAGTCTCTGAAAATGACCTAAAACACACTACACCTGCTTGTTCTCATTCCCTCTCCTTGCTCCTTCTCCCACCCCCTTTCTGGGTATATTGTCTTCCTGAGGCCCGGGAGCAAATTATATCTTTTGGGGGATAAATCAAATGGGGTCTAAATCAAAATAACCTTTCCCTTTACCTATACAAGCGGGCTTCTTGTAGTCACATTTGTATTTCCTAGTCCTAGTCCCTGGACACAGTAACTGGTCTACAGGAAAGTACCTGATCCAGGTTGAGGCAAAATTCCATTCTCAAGATATTATGGAACTGGGGCTAAAATAAACCTCCAGATCTGGGCTAAAGGTGGAATGATGGATACAGTCTATTAAATTACCAATATATAATTCCTATTGGCTTTATTCAGTGATAAATACACAGTGGCAATCCTCAGACTCAAACCAGAAACTTGGATGGAATTTAAGTAATAATGTTTATAATCATATATGTAGCAAATGTACACATGAAAAAAAATTCCTAGTATAATTCAGCTACATGGAGACTAAAAAATTTCACTTATATGTTAATTAGTTATAGTCTATATCGGAAAATAAAACTAAGGGGTGCCTGGGTGGCTCAGTCATTAAGCATCTGCCTTCGGCTCAGGTCATGATCCCTGGGGGTCCTGGAATCAAGTCCTGCATCGGGCTCCCTGCTGGGCAGAGAGTCTGCTTCTCCCTCTCCCTCTGCCTCTCCCCCTGCCTGTGCTCTCTCTCAAATAAAATCTTAAAAAAAAAATAAAAATAAAAACATTAAAAACAAAACAACAAAAAAAGAAGATAAAACTAAGACCACTTACCCTATTTTGGGATTTTAGGTTTCCACATTCCTTGGATATTTGTCGTTGTACATATTCTATACTTCTGCTCTGACTGTCTAGGCCCGGATGACTGAACGTTATCTAAAATATAAACAATTTCTACTTAAGTGACAAGAGAATGTATTTATTTTTAATAAAACTATATGCAGTGTGTATTCCAAAACTTCATAGCCTATTAGTAGTGAAGCCTTTCAAAATAGTTTTAATAAAAAGCATTATTTGAATCATCCTATTATTTAAACTTAGGCGATTCCTTACACGTTTAAATTTTAATTTCGAAAGTAACACGAACTTCTGGTTTCTGATTCTGCATGTAAGGAACTTAGTAATTGCCACTCTGTTCTAACAAGTAAAAAACCTTAAATAGAAAAAATATCATCAACTCTTCTCAGATCTGTAAGAGAGAGGAGGACACAGTGCAAACCCCTGCCTCCAAGATTGGAGACAGACAGGAATATAAAGGGAGTCACAGCCCACTAGAGCAGATTCATGAGCAGAAATTCCCATAGAAACCAGTGCTGAGGTTGGAAAACCTGAACTATAATTGATGAGTTGCCAGAGCTCAGTGTATACACTGAGTTAAAAACTCTAAGTGGACCCAGTCATAGTAGAGCTCCCAAATTTTTTTGTGTTTACCTCCAGGAGCTCAACCAAGTTCTTGCAGTAAATTATCAGAAAAATCCTTGCATGCATCCAGAAAGGGGATGGGAAAAGGAACTATTTTTTAACTATGCCAGAATACTCGGGTTTTTCGGTTTGTTTTTTTTAACAAGGTCTGCCCTCAGGAGAAACTAGTGAACCAGAGCCTGACCTAGGATATTATCAGAGCCTACCTGACCCAGAAGACAAAAAGCCAACTCTAGTCAACTCTAACCAGCTGATCCAACCAAAAAGTTAGAAAAAACTGCAAAATACTAGCGGAGTTAACAGTCCAGAAGCACAGGCTCATTCTGAAAGACTGAGACCTAATCATAGGACTACAGAATGCTTCCCCTCCCCACCATACCTCACCACCGTATACTAAAGGCCTATTTCTAGCAGTTCCTTTAAGACCCAGTACATCATGTGTAGCTATTAAAAAAAAAAAACAAACTGTAAAATATACTGAAAGGCAAAAACCAATTTGAAAAGACAGAACAAGCATCAGAACCAGACATAGCAGGGATGTTGGAATTAGCAGACTAGGAATTTAAAACAACTATGATTAATACCCTAAAAGCTCTAATGGATAGACAGCATGCAAGAACAAATGAGCAATACAAGGAAAGAGACAGAAATTCTAATAAGGAACCAAAAGAAATGCTAGAGTTCACAAACATTAAGAGAAATGAAGAGTGCCTTTGCTGAACTTACTAGACTGGACATGACTGAGGAAAAAAATCTCTGAGCTATTTAAAATAGTAATGACTGAGAATTTACCTAAATTAATGTCAGACACCAAACCACAGACCCAGGAAACTCAAAGAACACCAAGCAGGATAAATCCCAAAAAACATACTCCACCTAAGAATATTTTCAAACTATTAAAACTCAAAGAAAAAATCCTGAAAAATGAACAACAACAAAATTCCTTACTTATAGAAGAGCAAAGAATTACATCTGACTTCACCTCAGAAACCATGTAAGAAGAGAGTAAAATATTTAAAGTGGTGAAAGAAAAAAATCTGTCAACCTAGAATTCTGTACCTTGCCAAAAAGCAAACAAACTTCAAAAAAGATATAGACTTTCTCAAATAAAAACTGAAGAAATTTGTTGCCAGTAGACCTGCCTTATAAGAAATGTTATGAGATTCTTTAGAGAAGGAAAATAATACAGATCAGAAACTCAGATCTACATAAGAGTAAAGGAGCACTGAGGAAAGAATAAAATTTCACAATAAAATACAATTTTAATTTTTCTTATTCTTAATTGAGCTAACAGAGCATAGCTTATTCAAAAATAGTAACAATGTATTCAATCATGTATGATTATATATATTCATATATACTCACATATATATGAAATAAATGACAGTAATGATATAAGAGATGGGAAGGAGGAGTTAGGATTATTTTGTTATTATCAGGTAATCCCAATACCTGTAAAGTGATTTAGTGTTCTCTGAAAATGGACACAGATGCAAAGCATAGGGAGACCATAAAAAAAGGTAAAACAAACAAATATAACTTATATGCTAAAAAGGAGAGAAAATAAAACCACATAAAATGTTGAATGAAACCACAAAAGACAGAAAGTAAGTGAAAGACAAAAAGAGAAACAGAGAACAAGGGCAACAAATTGAAAACTGTAAAAAAATATGACAGATATTAATCTTACTGTATTGATAACCACTTTGAATGTTAATGTCCTAAAGGTACCAATTAAAAAATACAGACTGCCAGAATGAATAAAAAAGACCCAATTACAAGAAACAAACTATAAGTATAAAGACACATATAGAGTAAAAGTAAACGGAGAGAGAATACACTATACTAACACTAATCAAAAGAAAGCAAATTTAATTCATTTCAGACAAAGCAGACTTCAAAGCAAAGAAAGTTACTGGTCATAAAGAGGGGCATTAAGGAGCAGGTGGGTGGCTCAGTTGGTTAAGCGTCTGCTTTTTGGCTCAGGTCAAGATCCTGGGGTCCTGGGATCAAACCCCACATCAAGCAGGGAGCCTGCTTCTCCATCTCCCTCTGCCTCTCCCCCTGCTTGTGCATCCTCTCTCTAAGGAATAAATTAAATCTTAAAAAAAAAATAAAGAGGGCATTACATAATGTTATGAGATTAATTTTCTAAGACCTGCAATCCTTAATGTGTAGTGCTTAAGAACAGAGCATTAAATTACACAAGGCAAAACTTGATAGAAATGCAAGGATAAAGAGATGTACCTACTACCACAGCTGGAGACTTCAACACCCTTCAATCAGAAATGGACAGATCCAACAGGCAGAGAATCATTAAGGACCTAGCTGAACTCAACACCATCAATCAGGTGAATATAACTGACATCTAGAGACTACTTAACAATAGCAGAATACATATTTTTTCAAGCTCACATGAACATCAACCATTTACGGCCCACATTCTGGGCCATAAAACAGATTTATTTTATTTTTTTAAAGATTTTATTTATTTGACAGAGAGAGACATAGTGAGAGAGGGAACACAAGCAGGGGGAATGGGAGAGGAAGAGAAGCAAACGTCCCACTGAGCAGGGAACCCGAAGTGGGGCTTGATCCCAGGACCCTGGGATCATGACCTGAGCCGAAGGCAGACGCCTAACAACTGAGCCACCCAGGTGCCCCCATAAAACAGATTCTAATAAATTTACAAGAATAAATTTACAAGAGCAAAAGTATAAAATGCTGATGAACAAAACAAAAGAAAATAAATGCAGAGATATTCCATGTTCATGGATTGGGAGACTCAATATTGTCAAGATGTCAGTTCTTCCCTAATTGGTCTCTAGAGTCAATGCAGTCCCAATTAAACCCCCAGCAAATTATTTTGTGGATACTGACAAACTGATTCTAAAGTTTATAGAAAGAGGCAAAAGACCCAGAATAGCCAACACAATACTGAAGGAGAATTAAAGCTGGAGGACTGACATTACCTGACTTCCAGGCTATATTAATCAAGACAGTGTGGTTGATACAAAAGAACAAATAGATCAGTGGAACAGAACAGATGACCCTGGTAACGGTGATGGCTTTTTAAAAATTTTTTATTTTATTGTTATGTTAATCACCATACATTACATCATTAGTTTTTGATGTAGTGGTCCATGATTCATTGTTTGCGTATAACACTCAGTGCTCCATTCAATATGTGCCCTCTTTAATACCCATCACCAGGCTAACCCATCCCCCACCCCCCCCCAGTCAGGAAACGACAAATGTTGGTGAAGATGCAGAGAAATGGCAATGACTTTTGAGATACAACACCAAAGGCACAATCCATGAAAGAAAGAACTCATAAGGTGGACTTCATTAAAATTAAAAACTTCTGCTCTGCAAAATACAATGTCAAAATAACAAGAAGACAAGCCACAGAATGGGAGAAATTATTTGTAGAAGATATATGATAAAGGACTGTTATTCAAAATATACAAAGAATTGTTAAAAACCAACAACAAAAAAACAAACAACCCAATTAAAAAAATGGGCCAAGATCTCGTCACTTCACCAAGGAAGATACACAGATGGAAAGTAAGCAAATGAGATGCTACATACCTTAAATCATCAGGGAAATGCAAATTAAAACAATGAGATACCACTACACAACTAGCAGAATGGCGTATTCAGAACACTGATAATGCCAAATGCTGGGAAGGATGTGGGGCAAGAGGACTGCTGGTGGGATTCAAAATGGTACACATACTTTGGAAGACAATTTGGTAATTTCTTATAACACTAAACATACTCTTAAATATGATCCAGCAATTGTCCTCCTTGATATTTACTCAAAAGATTCAAAATCTTATGTCCAGGCAAAAATAAGCACAACAATATTTATAGTAGCTTTATTCATAAGTGCTAAAACTTGGAAGCAACCAAGATGGCCTTCAGTAAGGGAAAGGATAAAGTGTGGTAGACCCAGACAATAGATTATTATTCAGTATTTGTAAAAAAAACATGGAAGAATTTTACATACATATTACTAAGTGGAAGAAACCAATCTGGAAAGGCTATATTAACTTTATGATTCCAACTATATGACTTTCCGATACAGGCAAACTATAAAGATAGTAAAAAGATAAGTTGCCAGGAGTTGTGTTTTGGTGGGTGGAGTAGAGGTGAACAGGAGGAACACAGAGAATTTTTTAGAGCAATAAAAAAACTCTATGATACCATAATGATGGATACATGTCACACATTTGTCGGAATACACAGAATGCAAAACACCAAAAGCGAACCCAAATGTAAATTATGGACTTTGGGTGATTATGGTATGTCAAGGTAAGTTCATCAGTTATAACTGTACTTTCCACTTTGGGGCTATGTATTTACACACACACTCATGCATGTCTGCATTTATGAGGATCTTTAAAAATTTAGTGCTTCCTTACACTTGTTACATTACAGATACCTTTCTC